ATCTTTGCCCGCATATATTTACATCTGGGACCATTATTAAACAGCCCACAAAAAGCAAAGACAAACAGCAAATAATAACAGCCTTTGAGACGTGGCTACGGCACCCTTCCGCGGCGCCCGTGCGCTGGGCCGGGAGCCTGGGACACAGCCCCGGCCTCGGCTGCTGGAGGAGTAAGCCTAGCCCACCACTGCTGAGGTGAAAGGAATCGATTTTAAGAAAGAAAAAAGAAAGGGGGGGGGGAAGGAGAGAAGAGGAAAAAAAAAAAAAAAAAAGGCGGCACGCAACCACAAGTTTGAGCACAGCTCCCAAACGCTGAGATCTTCTCTATGCCAATGCTCCCCCTCGTGGGAAAATGCTTCCAAAACACGTACATCTCTGCTCATTTCTTTCGCTATGGAAGTCATTAATACCTAATGCAGTTTAAAAATCCTTTGTTTCTATTTTTCTCCATTTGAAAAGGGGAAAAAAAAGACAGATTGCTTCTATTTATTAGAAACAAAGGCAGCTTATTTAATTTTAAAATATGAAATTAGAGCCTCTTCTATATGAAATATTCTCTTTTAAACTGACTTTGTGTAGAACTTGCAGAGATTGCCTTGAAGCCACTTAGGATATGATGAATGGCAGCAAGATTCATCGTGCACTATACAAAAACAGAAGTTGCAAGGAACAGCGCGAGCATCACAGGAGTAGATGACAGTTTAGCAATTTAGAAATTTCTAGCAGAGGAGTTGCAGTAAAAGTACCGGGCTGCTGCTGATAACACTTAACTATTCAGAATAAATCCTTTATAGTCATTAATTAGAGGTTGTTAATTATGTGGCTTCATTTTCTATTTGTGATATGTTTTATGAGTTTAATATGATATCGTGCTGCTCATTCATGTTCCTTGGGCATCTTGAATGAGTTAATAGTTTTTAAAAGACAGACAGTCCCCTATTGCTTTTTTCTTCAGAATCTAGAAAAAATAGAGCCCCAGTCTTAGCTGGAGCCTTCAGGCACCATCATACTAAAATAATTAACAAATAAATTTCCTTTGATGTCAAATGCTACTGGAAATTCTCAGCGAAAGCTCACTACCTGCCACTGAATTTCACTGCTTTCAGAACGGTCTCAGTAACTCCTAATGACCTTCCTGTAAACAGTGGTCCTTCCAGCCTTAAGACTTTTCAGAGCTGAAGTTAGCAACTGATGAACAGATTAATTGCTGATGGACAAAATTAGCAGAGTACAGCATCAAAGTTTGCCTTGTTTAGACTGCAGATATGTTGTTACATAGTATCTGCTGTACAAGGCTGTGCAAGCGAATGGACTGAACTGCTAATTACGTTTCCTTACCCCACAGTTCAGAGGAAATCTTACTCCAATTGACAAAGTGAAAAATATAGTGCAAGAGTTGATTACAAATTAAGCTGGTGTAACTAATTTAATTAAAGAGTAAACCACGGGGAAGAAAAGCATTGCTCTTATTCCATACTTCTGCTTTAATTGCATGGCATGACAAAACGAGGAACCTTATCATAGGAAAACATCCCCACCTGCTTTTCATAGAGAAGAAAGTATTTTCACAGCCATAGTTGCCTTTTAGTGAGTCTGTCCAGCTGAAAAACAAGACAAAATCTTGCAAAACGCATCTTGTAGGATTCTTTGTGATACAGCATTCCAACAGGAGTCCAAATACACAGATGTTAAGTTTTGTTCAAAGTAGGATTTAAAAAAAAAAAAGAGGTTCCCAGAGTCTTTATTTATTTGGGGAATATCACCGAGTTCTTAGTTTCTCATGCAAATACCAAGCAGTCAGTTCCCTTCACATCCTGGTGGCACAATAACGGACACAATAGTGGACACAATAATGTCTCATTTGAAGTTACATCTAATTATAGAAGCATCTGTAGAAAGTGCTGCTTAAGGACATATGTACTTCCCTAATGTTGAAGTCAAGCTGAGCAATGAGGGTCCAAAGGCATTTGAAGTTAAGGCTAAATATAACTGAAGCTGAGCACCCAGAGTTAGACGGTAATTTTGAAAATGGCTTTTCCCCCACCTACTCAAGCTGACAGGCCTGCAGATGTGCAGTAACCTATAGAACAATAAAGGGGACTGTCTTCGCTTTTTATAACTTTGGCACTGAAAGCAGGGACATTACAAGCTCTTGTTGGCACAGTTGTGACATTTGTCCAGTATACTGTTTTGCAAAGGGAAATTTTCCCCTGCTGTTTATAATGGGTAGCCTAGCTGGAATTCATTCAATCATTTCATGCCTTCAGGAAAGCTTTATGAGGCATATTATTAAAATAGTTACAAATCCCCAAAATCTCAGCAGATGTTTGCGCTGAACTGAAAGGATTTCTCACAGTTTAACCAAGTACAAGCCCATTAGAGTAATCACTGTTTCACCGAGGCACGGTTCCCTAAAATCTCTCACAAACCACTGAGGGGGGTGAACGTTATGCATTGACCAGGTAACGCATCCCTGAGATGCTGGAATAGTTTATCGGATACTACGAGACTGAGATGGAGGGCATTCGTCCCTCCCACTGCACACACAGTCACCTCTAAGGCCCTCCTGTGGCTACGCAGTGGATATCAAATGTCACTTCCAGTGGGAAAAGGACATCTGAGCAAGGAATCTCTGCCTGGTTCTTCGGGGAAGGGTAAATTCACGGTCAAATCCTCAGCGGCAAGGGGGAAACTACCCCTACAGAAATTCTGCAGAGAGAAAACGTGTAGATAGCGATAGCTGGCACCACTACTATGGACACCCCAGGCAGGAGCAGAGAGAAACAAGACAGTGGCAACCACAGAGAGGAAGGGCTATAGGCTTCCCTCACCTTCCATGCTGCAGGTGAGTAATCTTAAAAAAGAACAGGATCCAACTGGCAACATCTTGTCCATAGGAAAGCTTCACCCACAAGATAAGCAAAGACTCCAGTCTGAAAAATATGTACTCACAGGAAAAAATGCAAATATTTAGCAGGAAAAGTGTCCCAGTAAAACAAAAAAACCCACCACCACCACCAAGTCTACCTTGTTCCAGTCTAGTCGTTTGGTTCTGAATTTTTCATGTCTCTTAATGAAGATGATACTGTTTTTATGCACCTCTATAATCTATAGCAACTCTCTCTTCCTTAGGTAAATCATACAGTAATAGATCTCTGTAAGGTCATCTTATTTCCAGAGAAAAGTTGTATTTAATGCACACGCCCGATGCGCTGCACCCAACAGAAAATGAAGCTCTTTCTTTGTCACCCACCCCAATTTCCACTTCGGAAGCAAATTAAACTAAACTAAGTCCACTTTGGTTCTGTATTAAGAACATTCATATACTTTACATAAATCTCTTAATCAACCTTGAAATTCCAGCTTTTGTTAATTCAGAAGTGTTTGTAAATATAGAAGGCTCTGTGAGCAACAGTGCTATTAGGAACAGGGAGACAGCAGCCCAACTTTTGAGAGTGCGATATTCAGCTCTACACAAGCCAGATTTTTTTCCCTGTCATCATTCGAGTATTTCCCCAAAACTTTTCAGACTACAGGTGCATTTTAAATACTCAAGTCCTTGCCTAGTTTATTCCAAATAAAAGGGTTTTTTTTTTGTGTGTGAGGAAACAATAACATTTAACAATTCAGTTGCAAAGTACTTAGCATCTGCGCACGCTCTTTATAGGTCACGAAGGTGTAATCTTAAGCAACAGAACTTCCGAAAAACCTCACTAAAAATCATGGCAAGGTTGATGTTTGGAGGAAAACAAAATGACTTCCTTGATGAAAAGGGATTTCAAACCCTCAGACTGCTTTCACTATACAGTAGTTTTCTGCCACAGATTCTTCAGCCTCCTATTTTGCACTAGCGGCATCTGGAATAGGTATTACAAAGACTCTCCTAGGAGAAGAAGTTAAGGGTAGTGACCATAGCAATCATCAGATGATTAGATGGAAATCTACCCTTAATTGGGGAAACAAGGCAGGAAGAGGAAGGTAGAGAGGGCAAACAGAAGCATCCAGCAGATTTCCCCTGCAGATTCTTACAGTAACAGAATTCCAAAAAAATTTTTAAACAGCAAGGGCACCAGGGCAGCTTCCCCCGACACTGCATTGCTGCCACACCAAGGACAGATGCACAGACCACATCTAGCTCACCTCCACCAATCAAACATTGTCTGTTTTGAATTCAGAGTTGTTAAACAGGAACTTCCCATTTAGAATAGTTATATAGAAGCAAAGGATGTTATTCTAGCTCCATATCAATGAAGATAAATCTGGAACTATAACTGGTAGTAGTACTAATTTAGGTGTTTTTCCTCCCCTGTTAATTCAACTAAACTTTTCACCCCCTGTATCCACATCATTACGTGGCCAGGCGTTTCATGGTTTTACTATGCTTTATGCGAGGAAGTGCCTCTTTCTTTTGAGATTCAAATTAAGAGTTTTTCTTATACCATTTGGAGACTGCAGCCGTATAGAAGTCTTCTCTGACTAGGGAAAAAAAGTAAAACCATTGGCAGTGTTTGAAGGCCACTGAGCATATGAGAAATAATGTTATTTAACATTTTTTGAATAAAGTTTTAATAGGTACCTTCAACTTAATATTCATTTCCATTTTCATTTTTTAATAAACAGTAAAGATGAATGAGATGTTTCCTTCTCTAATAGAAATCAAAATCTAAGCTAAAAAAATTTTTAAGCTCAAGAAGTGGCATTTCAGTACAATAATCTGTTTTTATTTTTACAATGTTTTGATTGAAACAATGTAGAAATTTAACCTGCAAAACTGAATTCATGTCACAATGTCTATCAGAAGGCAATACAGGCATCTTGTTTCATTTTTAATTAGACAAAATATTTTTCTGGACACCAGATATTACAAACTCTTAACACTATACATTTCACTTTATTTTAGAGACTAATTTATCATAATTTAAATCTATCTTATAAACAATTTCTTTTAAAAAACATGTGGAGGATAAAAAGAACTCAAGTATTAAACTCAAGGCCTTGATTTTTTTTTTTCTTTTTACACAAAGTTTTTAACAAATGTATCAAAATGACAACTCTATGGTTATTATAGCTACTAGTCAGGCTCTGTAACACACTGCTCCACAATTTCACGCAAGTTTGGATTCTCCATCGCAGCTGCTACTCTCTCTTTATCATTGATTTGCTTGTTGACTGCAAAACATCACATATAAAGTAAAGTCAGAAGCAGTTTACTGATGCAGTACCTGTAAAGTACCACTGAAACACGACAAACAAGGCATTGTACTCCAATGAAGTTTTCCAAACCTAATGCACACAGTGCTCTAGGAAGGAGCAAGTGCTGCTCTGCAGTAGTGGTACATCGTGTCAACTTTCTTTGCAATTTGCTATGTAGGTAGAGATTCAAATTTGCCTAGTATCTGTAAAAGTACTGTACAGGCAGACATTTAAGTGATACGGCCTAGATAAAGAAGGTTGTGCCAGATAACAGAAGGGCAACAAGATAGAAAGGAAAACACAAAGACGCTCAAGAGCAAAGACTCAAAAGAGACAGGATTAACAGGAAATTTGGGAACAGAGGCAAATGAAAGCTCAGTCACACAAGAACATCCATCATGGACCAACTATTTTTGATACTTTTCTAGTTTGGGAAAGGAATATGAAATACACTGATAACATGTCTTAACATCAAGCATAAAATTTGTGACAAAGTAATAGTCTGAGTTCCTCTAAGTTTGATTTCTAGTCATTTAATCAAAAGAACAGGTTTCCCTGCCCCTCCCTGTACAAAGATACCTAATGTTCAAAGACAAAGTTCAAGGCCAGTGCCTGGACAAAGGCTTTAACAGCTACTGAAGACAGTGACTGACTATAACTTTGAAAGAATTTCAAGGTCCTGTAGGTTTTATTTTATATTTGTTGGTTGATCTTGCTACCTTAACTTCATGATACCAAAAACATACAGTTCTCAGTCAGTCATGAAGTTCTTCATGTTAATAATTCAGCAGCCTATTGGTAACTTTTTTATTAGAAACATAACTCAACATCTGCAAGAAACAGGATTTTTTACAAGCAGCTTACGTTCACAGTACCACTACAACTTTTGAAACAGCCTCAGCTACATGTTTCATTGTAAAGCTTTAACAACATACTAGTTTCTGGAAAGGACAGTAAGGTGGGGGAGGAAAAGGACTTCCCCAAGGACACAACATTCAGTCTACTCAAGCTCCTCTCATTCATAAGTTCTACTTACTGTCCTCTTCAGTGGAATGTGTACCTTCAGAAATGTAGATTTCCAGCTAGAGAAGAGATCGATAACATTAGACACGTACATCAATAGTTAAATATATTCATTACTGAAAGAAATGTAATTTACCCTTTTTAAAAGTTCATGGACAATGAAAAGTGATCAATGGCAATAGCTGATCTTAAGACTGCAGTGCAATACAATCCCAAGACAATCTCCACTCCATTTCACAGTCCCCAGCGATCCTTCTTTGAAATTGCAGGGGCATTCTTTCCTCATTAGCATCAGCTGCTTGTGTGAAAAAGTAATTGCATTGAGGCTACTGAAAGCAGGGTGGAGAACCTGGCATTATCTTTTCATTTAGTTCTCTGCAGACCACATTAAAAATTCCTAAGACACAGGTCACAAAGATTTCCTCAGCCCAGTTCCTATTCCAAACTCTGCAGTTCTTCTGAACTCTTCTACCCTGAAGTTTTTACTTCAGGGATTATGACTATATAAAGTAGCAGAACTCCCCTTAACTAACTGAGGAGAAAACTACTGGATATTCCAAATGGTATAGCAGATTTACTAACTATTAACATTTTTATATTCACGATGCTTGAATATGTTAAAATATTCCAGAAGGCCATATTCATTTTCTCCAAGGCAACAGTATGACTCAGATTCATCATAACATTGGCTTTAAAAACACCATCTCCTCCACCAAGCAAGCAATTGGATGACAGGTGGTCAGGAGATTCCTTGAAACCCAGTATATTTCATAATTTCAGCAAAGAAACTGTCTTTTGTAAAGAAAAGGAAGAATCAAAGCTATTCAGCGATTCCTTCAGGTGCTTCACAGTACTGCACCATTCACTCCTTCCATAAGGAAGTAACAAGTTTTAAAGAGACCCCATCCTTAACGGGAGCTTGCAAGTCACTTGATCCTACAGTGTACCCTCTTTTAAAGGGAAAGTATAGCACTTGGCATCCATTCATGTAGTTTACTGTAAGTTCTAGAACAGATACTTTACCTTATGTCTAAAAGGCAGACATCTCTGAAGTTTTATTCTTAAACAAAGGCCTGTTTAAACAAAAGAGAGAAGAATTTTTGCTTGTCAAATTCAAGATTTGAGGTGCATTTTCAGAGGATACAGATTTACAATCAAAAACCACCAGTATAATTGGCAACTTTTTCCTTTAGCACTCTGAGCAGCATAAGCCACAGAAGAGATTAAATAACCATTCTCGACCCCTTTGGAGAGAGCTTCTCAGTTGAGTTTGGACCTGCTCTACAGGCTTAGGAGGTCTTCAGTCTCTGAATACCTTCTAGAAACACTAAATACACAGAAATCCTCCATTTCCAGCTTCCCTTTACATTTTTAAATGGAGTTTTTTTTGACAGTCACTGTGGCTCCATCTGTACTGAGGAGAATGTTTGTTTTGTGTTCTGACATTTGTTAAAAATCCAGTATAAATTGCTTGAAGAAAAAACCCACAAGCCTGCAATGACGCGGAGGCCATTCAAGCCCACTAGCTTCCCTATTAAATGTCTACCATACAGAAGTGCTAACTACTTTAAAACAACATACAAAAAAATACCCTAACAAAAAAACTCCATCCACAACTAATCCCCGTGGCCAAATAAAACTACAAAGATATATATCACCATTAAAAAAAATAAATAAATAGAAAAAAGCAGCTGTGGGTCAACATTCAAGCGTTGCTTGAAAAGTCTATTGCTATAGTTCTGTCTAGATCTGCTTGTCTAGAGCAAACAGTAACGCAGGGAAGAAAACAAACAAACAAACAAAAACCTTTGATGCAACTGAGCAAAGCGTTGTGGTTCATCTCGGGGAGCCACATCCTAGTTTGGGACATCCCTACTGCTAACCTATTGCAGTTTTCCACAAGGCCTGGCTTTTCAACGAGCTGTAGCAGTATTACAGCCCCAGTTTGTCCTTGCTCTGAGCCAGTGATAACAGCAGCTCCTGCCAGTGAAGGAGAGAATATTTTTCCCCAATCTCCTTTGGGAATCTCCTTTACCTATTCCCAGTCTCCTTTGGGAAGAGGTGGCAAACTGGACAGAAACAATTCAAAAGCTACTTATTTGGACTCTAAAAAGTTACATTCAAGCAACTTAGAGAGAAAAACTGAATTCCCAAGTATTATTGTATTCACAAATCCCTAGAAAAAGGGAGAGCGCTGAAAAGGGGTCTTAAAGTCCAATACATAAGTCAGTAAGGTTAGGAGACCGCTCCAGGTATATGAATTCCTTTCCTCAGTCACTTGGGATTAATTCCCCGTTCTGGCAGTCTAAAATTCTTGAGAATTCTATTCTACTTAGAAATTTATTTTAAAAAGTATAGAATAAATAAGGAGCAGTCACGTGCAGGCTCTGAGAACATTTATAATTAGACAAAAAAAACAACCAAACCATTCAGGTCTTTAACAAATATTTCAGTATGCTGTTTCATGTTTTCAAAGGTCAGCCGATGCAACAAGCCCTCAAGATCAACAAATTCTGCCCATTTACGAGAAACTTACTGGAAAACCACCTTGTTAAATATCAGTTACGTTCCCCTTGATATAAGAGAAAACGTGATATCAAGTGCTGTATACATGATTAGCAAAACTTAGTTTGATGTGCTATGGACTACACCGGTCCTTGGCTCTAAGTCCTAACCCACTGACGCTCCTAACAGGGTAAACTTAACTCCTAACAGTTTCAAGCTACAAAAAAAATTATTACTGGCTGGCATGCTATTACTTCACTGTCTTGTGTAGAAAGTAAAGTGCAGGTAGTAAAGGTCTGTTTTGGCATAACTACACGTACTTTTTGATTAAAGCTTGTAATTTATTTTAAATATTTAAGACAGACTGCGAAATCTTAATACATAAGAGTTGTTAATGTTGGTACATTTAAGCAAATTATTTCAGAGAACAGAAACCTGCTTTCACCACAAATAAGAAAAAAATAAAATAAGCCAGTGTCGATTCTTATTCAACTTTACTGCTTTCAGACTCCTAAGAGTTCATAAACTTTTTTTGGTATTTTTTGAGCACGTGTAGGTTTTTGTGCAGGTATGGGCAAGGCTAAAGGAAATAGTCCTGAAAATTTACCTTTTTTTGTTTAAATTTAAGAATTGACAAATTTTCAATTTAACATTATTAGAATAGCTTGGAAGTGGTATAGAATCCCTCCTTTATATTCTCCTAGTGGATTATTGAGCACTTCTCTTCTTGAAGAATTTGTCCAAGTTGATGAAACAAGATCTTGGATGTCCCCACATTTCTTCTGTTTTTTTTTTTTGTTGTTGTTGTTTTGCTTTTTTTTGTATTGTTAACCAATTTTTCAAGATAAAATTTCTAGTTAAATTGCTGGCAAAACAATACTGCATTTTAACTAAGACTGATCTTATTCAGATAATCCATAGTTAACTTTATATTCATTATTACAGATTTAATGAAATAGAAATCTTACCAATGAGAGTAGCCAAAGAACAATGAGGTACTGTTGGTGTAAACCTGATGATAACCAGATACTCATCTTCACCTATCTCGTGTACTTCAACGCAGCTTTCCGTTACCACTTCCAGTTCTTCTAAAGTATTAGGTTTCTCCGGGTCCCGAATAGTACGGATTATATCTAAAGCAGAAGACAAGACACCAACAATATAAAGTAGCTTTCCTATATTTAATACATAATTTGTTTGTTAAGAAGTCATCTTCCCAGCATTGTTAATTTTTCTCCTCTTCAGAGGAGGCAGAGCTATAAACATCAGTGATGTATTATCTCAGGAGCTGCTTCAGAATTGGGCAAACTGAGGCATTTGTTGTTCACTATGAACATGTTTTTCACACACCAGTTCTAAGCTTGCTATTATTTTTGCAATCCCATGTTAACAAATACAAATCAAAACATGCCTATTAAAGGATATATATCAGCTTTAGATTTATATGTGACTTAGTATGACCTATGCAGAAGATATCTGAAATGTTAACTATATGTTTATCTAAGTCAGATTCTGGAAAATCTGAAAAGCAAGCAAACCTATTAATAAGATAAGTCGTTTTTCATTCCCACCTTTTTCCCCTCCAGTTCCTAGCCTGGGCCTCATAGATAAGATTTTGAGACCATCTTAAGGAAAGCCAGTACAGAAATAATGCACTAATCCATATTTATCTGTATCAATGAAGGGTAAGCATCAGGCGTGATCATTTCCTTACCTTGTAAAACGTGGGGATCAACTAGGTTTAATATATCTGTGTGGAAAATGATAAACAGCACTGCTGCTTATAGAGTATTTTTCTTGTGTTCTGGATTAGTTTAAGAAGGTTTCATAATACAAGCAATCACATTTGTTGTTACTTCTCCCATAGATCAAAAGGTTTTCAAGGGATACTCAAAAGCTACAACGTATGATTACAGGGCGCTGAAAAATAACGCACAAGATGGTATAGGAATTCAATAGGTTTAAGAACCTATTGAAAAATAAAACTCTGCATTTCAATGTTTGCTGAGTAATGTAGGATATAAGTAGAAACAATGAGATCTCAAGTCTGCGCACATCTGCGGCATGTACCCAGCATAACCGGAAGAAATACTAATTTTGACAATGAATGCCAAATCTAAGAAGTTCCCACCTGTCACCTTCCCTTTTTTTTTTTTTCCTGCTTTGTATGCTGTTGTTTGCTCCTTAAAAGAGCAGGTACAAGCATTTTTGCTATAAATAAGGTAACAGAAGTAATATGGGTTAAGGTAAGTCAAAAAAATAAGAAGGAAAAAAGGGAAGATATTTCTAACTAGCTGTGGCGATTGTATTTTCATTGCAGCCCTACAAATAGTTCTACCACAACAGTTAACTGTATTTCTAAAGTAAACGCCACACGAGCTTTCAATACAGCAAATTAGTTCAGTCTGTCTTCAGGTACACAGACAGGCCCACCCAACTCTAACTTGAAAGCTGCAAAGCTGTCCTGCGATTAAGCTAATAGGCCCAGCCTCTCAGCAGGGATCACAGGCCTAGTACGACATGGCGCTAATATTGCTATATCGCTTCCAGGCGGAATTTAGCCTCTTCCCAGCCAGTGGGCAGGAAGAGTAGTTCATGTTTGTCTGGACTTCCTCCATGGAGACATATCCTAAAGTTTCTGACTGGCGAGTGGGGAAAAGACTTTACTAGGACAGTTGTATATACAAGTTTTCACTCTCGACGCCGACCTCACCCTCCTGCAGAGGCTACTCAAATTGCTCTCTGGACCTAGGTAAACCTTTCAGCAGGGTTGGGAACCACTTGCTGTCCAAAGTAAATTGTCGTCACTTATACCGTAAAGTAAAACTTGTGATGAAGGAGAAAACTTATCCCCGTTCCCTAATTTCCAGGGAAGCAGACTGTTGCCTGAATCATCCTGAAGCCTCCAGCCTGTTTCAGCTTTCTCTGTCTGCATCATAAGGATGTCATGCTGCTGAATTATGAACCTAGAACACACAGTAGATGTCACGAGGCTATTTGTTCGATGTTCCCAAGGAATTGCTAACTGTCCCCTCAATTACATTAGGTATTGTTAGGGTAACAAGCAAACAAACTGTTTAGCTTTATTAAAATGTTTCCCAGGAAATGGATTAATAGTCTCATTCGTCAGACTGAGAAAAAAAAAATATTTTCACATTTTTTCCCCATTGTTCTGGTACTTTCTGCATAAAGTTTTAGTTGACTTGTTTGGCTAGACTTCTATAGTTGAACTACAGTGTGTATATATATACACACATATGCCAAAATTATCTTTGTGTATACAAGTTTCCTCAATTTCTGATGTATTTCTTTCTCTATTTTTAAATTTTATTCTCTTTCTATGTGAAAGGCCCACATAAACAAAGAGGAAAACAATTACTTCCCCAGCCACTAAGAGGAATGCTAAAGCTGATTTAGTTCAGTAGTACTTCACGGATGTCTCTAGCCCTTTAAATCCTACAAACAGTATTTCCAGACATGAAATCGCTCCATATTTTACAGGAGCGCTGCTAAAGACTCAGGCGTTCAGTAGCAGAAATCCCCATTTTGCTGGGCTAAGTAGCTGACCTTTCTGGAATTACTTGCCTTCCCAGGTGTGTCCAGCTTCTCTTCTGAGGTGATGAAACAGCAAGGTAACTCCCCCCAGCGCACAGACCGAGCAAGCAGTCTCAACCCCTTCCCCACATGCTCAGGGGCTGAGAAGCAGTAACATCATTCCCCCCATCCCGTGGTGCATTAAGATAATTCTCTCAACACGCTCCTTGCTCAGGATCCGAACTAAAAGCCACCAAGGCACACGCTCCACCCCAAGGTCACGGCACCCACCCCATCTCCAGCCACTGTCTGGGGCTCGCGGTGTGCTTGGCAAAAGTTAGCAGAGCCTCAGGACAGTCTCTCATCCCGACCCTAACACTTTCCAGACCCTGGAACACCTGAAGGATAATCCCCAAGACCCGACAGTGCTTCTCATTTTCAAGGGAGCCAAATGTACTCGTTCTCTCCTCCCACTCCGCACCACAAGCGCCCCAGGGGGCACCCACACCCCAACACCAGCAGCAGCA